GCGCTGTCGGGCAGCCGCGCTTCCTCCCGGGGCCGGGGCCAGTCTAAATGCGTCTCCCCTCCCGCTCCCCCGCCTTCCTTGCTTGCGGGGAGAGGCCGCGATGAGGGCCCTAAGAGGTGAGACCCTCTCGCCTTCCGAAAGGGGGTTTCCGTTTCAGACTCCAGAGCTGGCCCAGAGCCCCGGTTCCTCCCCCCACCGAGGGCAGCGGCAGCCCCTGCCGGCCACGTGCGCTCGGCATGTGTGGCTGCCAGTCCTGCAGCCCCTCTTCCAGGCCCCCTCCCCAGCCCTGCGGGGCTCAGGTTACTCCTGGCCTTTCCTAAATGGCACTAGTTCCCCTTTAACCTTTGCAAAAGGGGAATATAGTCCTGGGGAGGGGAAGACCCCTCCGCCCCCCTTCTGAAGCTCCTTCCCAGAGCTAGAATTAAAAGTAGGGACATTTTACTGGGGAACAGAGAGAAAGGAGGGGTAGTTATTGACCTTTGGGAAGGGGGCCTTAGGCTGTAGTGGGCACTTGGCTGCCAGCCGGGTGCGGAGGGGGAGGATGGAGAGGGAGAGAGGCGGGGCTGGCTGGGGGACAGGGTGGCTGGGGATAAATGCCCAGCCTGAGAGGGGGTGAGCTGACACTGTCCCAGCTGCCACCTAGACCCGGAGCTCACCCCAAGCCCCAGCCAAGACATTCAGGTCTGGTGAATCTTTAGCCCCAGGGGGTGGAAGTGGTAAAGGGTGAGGGTGGTGCTGGCTTGAAGGAAATGTCAGCTTTTTTTCCCCTCCTGGGACTGGGGGTGCTTACAAAAGACTGGAGGAGTTGGAGCAAGCAGGATGGGTAGCCATGGGTAGGGAAATGAGGATGTGAAGAGAGGCAGGCAGAGATATGGAGAAGGGTAGCTAGAGCTTCAGCCAGGCGGAGGATGTGGGCCCCCCTGAGGATCTGAAGACTGAAGAGCAGGGGGGGAAACAAACAGAATAATGACAGAAGAGCTGATGGCTAGGAAGCCATGGAGAACAGATTGCTTGACTTTGCGGTAAAGGGGTTGAGGGAGTGGTGGAATCAGAATCGCTGGAGCTGTAAAGGAGAGGCCCCTGGATTCTTGGGACTGGCGGAGGGTGGAATAGGAGCTGTTCTGAGTGGGGGAGGGGGCTGTGCCTGCCTCTTTGGTCTGTGACCTTTTTGTGGGATATTTTTAGCTCCAGCACCTGCCTTCTTGGGGTGGGGAAGACTCTTAAAGGGCACAGGATTTGGGGTTCCTGAAGGGATCAACTGTCCACACTCAACCCCTTGTCCTGCAGCCATGGCCATGCAGAAAATCCTTGCCCGGGAAATCCTGGACTCCAGGGGCAACCCCACTGTGGAGGTGGACCTGTACACAGCCAAAGGTAACACAGGCCCCGTGACTTGGTTTGCCTTGGAAGACCCTGGCCCCATCTGGTCTTTATCCCCCAGCTGTCCCACATCCTCACCTTTCTCTGAGATCTCTTCCACAGAGCTCTTCCCAGGCCTTCCTCTTCCAACCTGGCTCCCCTGCTGGGAGAAGCCCTAGTCTGTCTGCTGTCTGCATGGCCTCCACCCTAGGCTCAGAGAGGAGGCCTTGGCCCTTTGGGGGTGGATGGGCCTGTCTGTGATCTTCCAATTCCTCTCACCCCAGGCCGATTCCGAGCAGCTGTGCCCAGCGGAGCTTCCACAGGTATCTATGAAGCTCTGGAGCTAAGAGATGGAGACAAATCTCGCTACCTGGGCAAAGGTGAGGAAAGACCAACACTTGAAGAGCCTGTGAGGGGTGGTTTCAGGGCGTGGACACCCCCTCCCCCCAATATCTGCTTGGAGTAAAGGCCTGGAACCCAAAGTTCTTGAGGAGCTGGGGTCCATGGGAAGAGACCTGATTGAATCAGATCTGAACCCCCTCCTCTGGCCTCTAGGCGTCTTGAAGGCTGTGGAACACATCAACAAGACTCTGGGTCCTGCTCTGCTGGAAAAGGCAAGTGGGGAGAGCTTATTCCTCCTACCCCCCACCACCCCCTGCCTGGGAGGGGCCAATGGTTCGTCTCTCCAAATACCTGCACTTCTTCCTTCTGCTCATGCCGTGGCTCTTTAGAAATCTGACTTCTGCTCTCCCCTCCTCAAACCTGCTCTTCCAGAAACTAAGCGTCGTGGATCAAGAAAAAATTGACAAATTTATGATTGAGCTGGATGGGACTGAGAATAAATGTGAGTGAAGGGATGGGATGTGGGATAGAGGGGGAGAGGCCGTGGGGCTAATGTCTGGTTAGGATTATTACTGTGGCCCACATTGGGGGGCACATCGTAGCTGGATGGACTTTTATTCATTCCTCAGGCATTTCCTGATGGCTGTGGACACAGTGTGAAGCTGACACATTCCCCTTTGAGATGACCCCAAACACTGGGGAGAAGCTCTCACCCTTTCTTTGTGCTTGCTTCCTCCAGCCAAGTTTGGAGCCAATGCCATCCTGGGAGTGTCGCTAGCTGTGTGCAAGGCTGGAGCAGCCGAGAAGGGGGTCCCGCTCTACCGACATATTGCAGATCTTGCTGGGAACCCGGACCTGGTCCTCCCCGTGCCTGTGAGTGCAGATGCCCCCCCCCCCCCAAGATCCCACAGTGACAGAGTTGCCTCATCCAGCAAAAAAATTTATAAGCAGCCCCTGGAGTGTTCACCTTCCAGACCCAGCTCCAAAGAAACAGTTTCCTGAAATGGAGCCTCTCCTGCT